GGTGGGGTGGGGTGGGGTGGGGGGATCCCAAGCCACCCCTTGCAGGCTGGAACTCTACCATCCTGCAAAGGAAGGCCTATGGTTTCCCACATTTTTCTCATTTAAAAGGAGAATCCATTTTAAAAGTTTGTTCACAACCCTTCCACAGATTCTCGTGACCCACTTTTGGGTCGTCACCCACAGGTTGAGAAACGCTGGGCTGGGGAGGTTTGCACACATTCCAGCACGCTCTGAAAGCTTTGCTGGTCTGCCAGGTGACAGATTGCAGAAATGCACACAGCAATCCTGATTAGTTAACCCAGAATGCCCATGGACAACACATGTTTCCCTATAGCACAATGTGGGGATTGCAAAAGGAGAGTGGTCTGGAACAGAGACTCTCCAGGAGAAACCGAATGTCTGTACAAGGCCTTGGTTTCCCTGGGCTAGCCCTCCCTATTAAGAAAATGTTACTGAGCTGGAAGTAAAGACTAAGTTGCATTTACTTGCATAGTTTCATCCTGGTTCCCAGTGTGAAAGAATGTTGCAAGGATGTTGGTGCCTGGGATTTTTTTTTTTTAATTAGAAGACATCCTGAGTTTGTTTAAAAGGAGCTCTTAAGACTGTTGTTTTGTAGAAGAAATTTAAAAAAATAACAAACCTGCTATTCAAATACCATCCATTCATGTTAACATGCCAAAATGATGCAGCTTCAGAGCTAAGATTGGAATCTCTTTAAGGGCTCTCTGCTTTTATGGTGTAGATGCTATTTATTTTCTGGCCATTAACAATTAAAAAGGAGGCTTTTGGCTTTTTTTCTTTCTTCTTTTTTTTTTGGTTTTCTAATCAGAAACTTTTGCTATGTTCTTTGTTTTTGTATTTTGCATCCTGTATTTAAGCAGGAAGGGGCTCACACTGTTCTTTAAAACAGGGGCCACGCAACACTTTAATAGATATAAAATGCCACCTATTAGGGCCTGGAGTTGGTTAAAGCATGGGATCTTACCTGCATTTGAGCAGTGAGGAGGAATACAAGGGTAAAAAGACAGGAGGTGCATGAAAGTGCTACATGTTCTACAGCTTTTCTTGTAACCTTCACTTTAGTCCTGGGCAGACAATAATGAAGACCTCAGATTGTAGAGAAGAAAAGGAAAGAATGGTAAGAGTACTCACTCAGTGGGAACTAGCTTCCAAATCCAGGTCTCAGGGAAAAATGTCCGAATGGTGTTTATCATCATCTCTGAACCACCGTAAGCATTACTAAAAACCCTTGCGTCTTCTAGGGAGGAAGAAGAGAAATGAACATAGGAAAAGTGTAATGTTGGGCAGGGTACTCAAAAGTGATCTGTTATGCTGTGACTATATACTCTGTCAGCTGAAACAGAGTAAGTAATCCTTGCAGTAATTTTTGCAGAAAAAAATCCCATTTGAATATTTCTGCATCAAGAAATTTCTTTCTTTTTTTTTTTTTTTTAATTCCCCCCCTGCAGAAATATTGTAAAAAGCAAAAAGCTGTGGGGGAAAATGACTCTCTCACAATTTTTGATTGTACCTCCTTTGTACCATTTTTTAGTTAGAAAATAGTATGGACTACGAGTTTTCCCCCTACTTTCTTATACTTTCTGTTTTCCACCATTATTTTACCCTTGGAAAGTTCACAGGGCAGTTAGCCAGAGCCTCTGATTAGCTATAATAATTACAGTGCTCATGGTTCCAGTGATCTATCCCAGGCCCTCTTCTTACAGCAAAAAGTGGAATAAGGCTGATGAGATGAGTCTCAGGAATGGTTTCCTTACAAAGATCCCAAACAACCTATTCAAGGCGCTGTTCCCAATTTAGAGTTGGGGCTATAATGGAGAGTTATCTCTAACTATTCATTCTATAGGAGAACTACTGTACCTCAGCCAGTTAAATCAGTAGCTGGCAACTTTTTACAAGCCATGGGATGGGTATCAGGTGCCTTTAGTTGCATGTCAGCAGCTGGGGCTTTCCCCGTTTCCACACTAGAGCCAAGCAGCTGGGAACTGCATCTGTGCCATTGCTGCTTCTCTGAGCTTCATGCTTCCTGGCTGCTGCATGAGTGCAGCTTCCAAGTAGTGGAGAGCTGTGCCAAAGCCATGTAGCTGCAAACTGTGTCTGTGCTGCTGCTGCTTTTCCTTGATTTCCTCCAACCCCCTTACCTCCCTGTTGCAGCTAGGGCACAGCTCCCCACTGGCTGAGAGCTGATCCTGTGGCAGAGGTGGAGGTGGAGGGGGTGGGGAAAAGTGACAGTGATGTAGACACAGATGGAAGCTGCCCCACCCCAGCACAGCTCCTCATTGCCCAGGCCTGGGGCAGGTGTGGGTGCAAGCAAAGGCAAAACCCTCCAGCTCTCTGGCCTGGATCCAGTGGCTCCATGAGAAATATTTTGCCCATGCCATTTTCTGCCAACCCATAAGGTAGAGCAAAGGGGTGGGAGCACCAGCACTGAACAATTCATTTACTTGGTGTGTGCTTCAGCTGTCCCATGTGTTATGTGAGGATAATGATAATTTTTCATCTCCATGGCATAGGGAGAAGGATAATTATAATACCTGTTTTCTTTGCAAAAGGCTTTGAGATCTATAGATATTAAATGCTAAGTATTATAGTATCTTAGGGCTATTAGTGGCCCCATTATATTTTTGAACTGATTTGCCATGTTTAGATTTTTCAGTCACTGTTGAGCTGGTAAAAGTCTCTAGAATGATCAACCCTGAAGAATAAAATCGTTTTCTTCCTCTGAAAGAGGCAAAGCCATAGCCTTCCCTCCCTTTCCCATTTTCTTCCTACACCCAACTAGCAGGGAGGTCATTCTCTGTTTCTGCAGGGATTATCTGCCACGGACAATGTAAAGCAAGCCATAGTGTAGGGATCTGTCACAGTGAAATCAGAGATGCTGACTGGCAAATTTATTTTACCCAGGAACAATTCTGAGGAGCAGGCTAATTGGAAGTGGTCAACTGCAAGTGGAAGAGGAAAACCCCTAATGCCTTATCCCAGGCCATCTAGCCTACTTCTTTATTTTTTACGCAGTACCTGGATACTTATCACGTTCATCTTCTTCAGGGCATGCTTTTTCTGTTTTGCACACAACTGGCTTCCTTATCGTAGAGTTTGTAAAAATCTTGAGACCCAGATCCTTAAAATAAAATAATATATTAATTGTGTTGTTTGCTGAATTTACTAATTAACCATCAAAGCACATCACCTATCCTACATCTTATTTATTAATAAATGGCAAGGAAAGACAAGCAGCTTTCTTTTTTTTCCCTGCCTTACTCTCCTTTTTCTGTGCTTTTAGCATAGTTACATGCAAGGCTCAGTGTCACTGTGGCTCATTTATCACTAGGCCACTTATCAATGACACCTGCTGGTCATTCAACAGCAGCAGTGGTAGTACTCAGGTCTGCCCATCACTGCTGGGTAAAGGAGTCATGGCAACATGAGGCCAATAGAAGTGGAGGGAAGTGACCTAAGATTAGCATGCAGCATTGACTCTGACCCTTGTGATGGACTGCAGAGGCTAAAACAAAGTCCCTTGTTCACAATGGTTATACTAGCAGGATCCAGTTTGAGTAGCTGAGGCAACCCAATGCTGAGAGTACAAAGATCCTGCACACAGCGAATTAAGTGTTTAACTTCATAGTTTCATAGTTGTTAGGGGCTGGAAGGGACCTTACAGATCATTACCAGTTTGGTGTGGTCCTAGACTCCTCCTTGGTTCTCTAATGGGGCACCCCAGTATTACCATGAGGTGCAGCATACATCAGTTTAGATAACACTGTGGATAATAACAGTTGGCTAAATATTACTTGTTGAATTAAAAGTTTGACCAATGCAGGTCATCTTTAGCTAATAAATCATTCTGAACCCGTTCCACATTCCTGTTATTTTATCCTTTATGTAAGTGTTTATGGCAACCAGTAGCACTTACTACTGACAGCTGTGACAGGCTCATCTTCTATTTTTTTATTGACTCCTTGTAAGCCAGGTGTAAATGGAACCTTAATACAGTGGTTCTCAACCCTTAAAGCCTCAAGGACCCTCTTCATAACTTGTCTGAATTTATGGTATCCCAGTTGAAAATCACTGAGCAAGATCTAAATTCAGAAGAGATATGGGCGAGGAGGCCTCAAGGCTAAAAAAGAATAATTGATCTGGCTGGTGCCACTCAAGGGCAGCAGGGGCAGGACCTCACTCCACTGTGCCCTGCTCTTTCCACTGTCTGCACCTTTCCCACCCCTTGTCCATACCTCAGAGAGCAAGAGCAGTCCCTGCCACTGAGATTGCACCTGCAGGGTCTTACATGCCAGCAACCGCCCTCATGGCCCTTACCACTGGCCCCAGGAGTGTGAGACAAGTGGAAGGTACGAGTTGGGTTGCAAATCGCAGGTCTGTCTGTTGGTCTACCCACTTGCCCACTTGCAGCAGAGGGTGCTGCTGAGAACATGGAGGGGGCTGGCACCGGGGCCGCTTGGAAGTATGAAAGACATGGAAAAGCAGTGGCAATCCCCAGAGAAACATCCACAGGCACTGCAGGCACGGAATGCCAAATAGGGAAGGAGAATATTTATCTCCTCATGCTGGGGCTGGGTGGCATGGCACCATTAATAAAATCTTGGCACCCTGGCTGGGAATCATTGCCTATACACTGGGAGCAAGATTCTGTAACTTCCTCCATGCTCTTTCCTTTACTGGGCTACTATACTAGGAGTGAAATCTTGCCCCCATTGAAGTCAATGACAAAACCCCCTTTGACATCATGGGGTGAGGATTCCATCCCACATTATTCTCTCATCACTCGTTTCCTTCCTCAAGACCTGAAGGCATCAGGATATAAACAGGGAATTAACAAGGTATCATCAAGTCCCAGCCCACCAGAAATAGCTTAGGTTCACACAAGAGAAATGGAACCAACAGTTCATCCTGTAGCTTTCTCTCTGACCCACTCTGCCTGCATGTTGTAACCCTCCCCCCATTCTCTGTCTGTTTTTTGTTTTTTTGTCTGCAAGCTTCTGGGAGCAGGGATGGTGTCTGATTTGGCAAATAACTACTATATCATAGGTGTGATTGAATAACTACAGCTAATAATAATTAGCAGGCTGGCATAAAAAAGCATCACTGCCAGAGGAGAACGGGAGTTATCAGAGACCCTCAATGCCTCCAGCAAACTCACCTTCTCCCATAGTAGTATGAACCATTTATTGAACAACATTAAAAGATCAGAGGCCTAAGTCTCCCTTCAGTTTTTACCTCCTATGCCGCTCCTTGCACAAAGGTAATAAGACAGTAACAGGGTAAGGGAGGTATTCAGAACACGTACCCTGAAAACCATGTAGACATCACCATCATGGCTAACATTCACAGGCACATAATACAAGCCATTGAAAAAGGCGTTTTTATAGGGGATGCAAGGCTCACTGTTGCCATCTTCCAGGTCGAGTCCTTGGTAGTAATAGCCATACAAGTTTTGTGTATCTAACTCAGAGTAGATCTGGTGGACAGGGATGAAAATAGAGAAACATAAGGAAAGGTCTCAGATTGGCATGCAGTCTGGAGAAATCATACCCAACAGCAGGTGGGTAAGAAGAGAGGTGAATTTCAAAGTCTAAGTACTAGTCCTACTAGTGCTTTTCTAGCAGCTGCACCAATAGAACTGAATCTTCACACATCCCTTTGGTTCCATAAATCTATGGGAGATTTAAACATTTTCAGGGCCTGATTTTTTGTTATTCCCATGTGAGATGTGACCTGGTAACCAGGAAGTGCTACGATAGTAACAGTGCAATAAGTAGTAACACAAGCAGACATTGCAGATGGACTCAGTTACATCCCACCATATTGCCTGCTGGGCCTACAGGACAGAAGATCTTAGGAAGCAGGGTCATGAAGGAGAACTCAGAACTGCCTGTTGGCACATCCCTGCCATGTTAAGCTAATGACATGGTAGACTGGATATATCTGAGTAAAGGGAGTGTAAGGGAGTAAAGGGACTGTACAGGGACTGAGTAAAGGGACTGTAAGTCTTGGAGGCAAGACTTACAGTCTCTGGAGAGAGCTCTCTCCCAGGATTCAGAAGCAAGACACTCTGGTCTATAGCCCGCAGGGCACAGTATGAGTTGGCAGCAGCTTCAAGGTGGAGGCTGACATCAGAGCCTGGAAGCCCCTGTTTCTCAGAGAACTGCAGCTGGACCTGGAATTAAGTAGAGAAATAGTAGCTACTGAGGAAAAGCATTTTGGTGCATAAATGACAACATTGTGGGAAGACGAATAGGTTCTCATCTTTCACCATCCCTGTGAATCAAAGTCCTCACCATCAAATAGTCTTCTGGAGGCCCTGTTCTGGGACTGACATGACCATTTCTACCCTCATCCATCTCCCTCTCCTCCTTTCACTGCTGTTTCCATCTATTTTCTTCCTATAAACTTCTTCTATTTCCTTTCTATTCTTGTCTATACTGCCATTCACTTTGTTAGTCCTCCAGGTGAGCACTTCCTTTTCTGTCTCTCCTATCAGACTAGCCTAAGTCCAGGGCTGATGTAAATGGAGTGACACCTGCCTGGTTCCCCTAGCTTGTGGCAATATGGCCAGGTCTTGAAGAGAAAATGAAGTTCTCACCTTGTTCTTGAAGCACAGTTCTATATTCAGGTAAGTGCTATCAGCCACCACCTCCCTATGAGGGTGCACAGTGTAGACCATCAACCTGGCATTGGGGGCCAACTTCTCACTGATAGGCAGCTGGATAGTGAATATGCCATGAAAATCTGTGGAAAGAATATGGAGGTAATAGTAGAAGAAAGAAGGAGAGCAAATTGGAGGAATTGGGGTTTTGGTGGAAGGGTTAGATTTTTTACTGCAAGCTAAAAGTTGCTTTAAACGGAAATGACTGGATATTGGGAGACCTGTCTCTCACTGCCCTCAATACCACGCCAACACTAAGATGCTGAGCACATGGCACCTGGCTGAGAGTGGTGGGATGTGTGCTGCAATTGATGAGGAATTCTGCATGCTTCAGTTCTGCACAGGAGAATCTGTGTGCAAGCAGCACAGCAAAGCACCTGATGCTGTCTGCAAAGATCAATTCTAGAGCCCTCAGCACCAAATAACACAGGCCTCTATCTCCTAATCTAATTGAGAGTTGCTTTAGCTGTGAGAGTAGCTAGATTATTGCAATTCACCCGCACCTGGAGAAAGACAGAGGACAAAAGATACACACAAGGAGTGAAACATGCATAAGTCTCCTGCCAGTATTTTTAACTGAAGACAGGCTAGAAAGAGAATTGCTTCCAGAATAAGAATATTATTCACCAGTATAAGCACAGACATCAGTTTGCTGTGCATTTGTCATTCCTGAATATCTGGAGTCATTGTCAAACAACTGGGAAAAGGACAACAAGTCCCAAAGTGATGCTTAGCCTAAAAACACGTCAGAAAGGGTGAAATTATGCATTACACTTAAACCATCTAAATCTGTGGCACATTAAATGTGTTAAAGTTAGCGCATGCCGTGAGCCGTTGCATGTTAAGGGATAATATTATTTCTGGCCTGCACAGCTCAGAGTTATCATTAGAGGATATAGCTAGAAACCAGGACACTGGGCTCTATCCCTGCTATAGGTGGGGGAGGAGGGCTGGGAACGGTGCACCCTGGGGTGCTGGAGGACTGAAAATCTCTCATTTTATCTCTCAGAAGCAGACTGAAGTTACTATAACACAAGCTAGGTCATGAGCGACTGCTGCCGCTTTATTCGGGGGGACACATGCCCCTCCCCCCTGCCCCAGTGACCAGTCTCACTGACTGGGTGGGAGGGTCCTCCTGTGGCCAATCTAGTTGCCCTGGGGGGGTGGGGCACTGCCTATGTGTACACCCCCTATGTGTCACCACTGAGCTAGGTTGCACAGCCCAGAGTTAACCCTCACCTAAAGTAGTGTAATTTTGAAACACTCAGTAGGCACTTAGCACAAGCTAAGGAACTTTAACGTGTGAACAGCCACATATTAAGAGACCTTACCATGATCTAAGTGTAACATGTAACTTCACCCAAAGTGATGTTTGTCATTCTCTAGATGTACAAAGGTTTGGTCACCTAATCAATGAGCAGAAACAATAGCATATGACAGACCGTAACCCAGTTAATGTACCTCTGTGGTCTTTCTCACAAGCTGGGCATGTCTACATGAGATATTTACTATGGAGCTGCCCAATTAGCTCCCTAGTAAATTTTAGTGTCTACAAATACTACCCTGCTTCAGAGTTTTTTTGTGAGCAGCAACACACATGTAGGCACTGATGCAACTGGCTGGGGCATGAGAGTGCTTCAGTGTGGGGGCTGCCTGCCAGCTAGACCTGCACTGGAGCACCCTCACGCCCCAGCTAACTCCTCTGCAGCACACTGAGCCAGGTCAGAGCAGCTGCAGGCTGGCAGGCTGACACGCTGCCCCCCTCCCCGCAGTTCTCTGCCAGTTGGGGCTGCTCTGACCTGCCTCAGCATACTGCAGTCCTGGGCACATGTTCAAATGGTGCATCTGGGAGCAGTAAACTCTAGTGCAAACTATGCTGCAATTTATTGCTTCAAATTAATTGAATGTGTAGATGCTCCCCATCCATGTGAATAACCCTATTGAGATACACAGTCTGATAGTTGAGAACTGTGTCCCTTATCTGCATATCCACATTGGTATGTATGGCCGAAGGAATGGGAACAATTTATGTCTGTTTTCCTGTGTTCACTTATTTTAACTGTATTTTAATTGTTTGGCTATAAGGAGCCAAGTGAGTCAGGTTTGTGTGCACTGACCTTCCCTTTCAAAATGGTGACATTCATAAGGGTACTAATATTGTGAGAGAAAACTGGGAAAGGTTGCTGAGGGTTCAGCAATCACTATGACTTGGAGAGACCCTCACATCAGAGGTGACAATGAAGCCCTAGTGGAATCTGTGAAGGAAGCAGCCTCTGGCATGGTGTTGTCTGCCATCAAGCCCCACAGGAAAAAGTATTTGTGGAATGCAACTCCCTATCCTGGGTTCAGCGTAGGACTTGTCACCCACTTGTTTCTAAAGAGCTGAAATCCTTGAAGTATCGATAAGTGCAGTTTTTAGTAGTGGGTCAGCTTGAGGTCTGTATCTGCTAAAACCAGTGTGTAAAACTCATCTGGTCCCATGGGCCAGATGACTGGCATGTGAACAGTTCACAGGCCGGATGAATCATAGAAAATAAGGCTGGAAGGGACTTTGAAAGATCACCGAGTCCAACCCTCCTGCTCTGGGCAGGAATACTTCTGAGATCAAATTATCTCATCAAGGTGTCTGTCCAGTCTCCTTTTGAAGACTTCTAAGGTTGGGGACTGCACCACCTCCTTGGGAAGTCTAGTTCAGATTCTGGTCCCACTTACCATAAAGAAGTTCTTCCTTACATCCAACCTGAAAGCAGCCTCTAACAGTTTATGGCCATTGCTCCTTGTCCTCCCCTGGGGCACCCTAGTGAACAGTTTTTCTCCCAGCTCCTGATATTCACCCCTTACATACTTATAGATGGCCTCCAAGTATCCCCTCAGTCTTCTCTTCCCCAGGCTGAACAGTCCAGATCCCTTAGTCTTTCTTCATAAGGTTTGTCTTCCAGGCTCTTAATCATTCTTGTAGCCCTTCTCTGGACCCCTTCAAGATTGTCCATGTCTTTTCTGAAGTGTGGCACCCAGAACTGTACACAGTACTCCAGCTGGGGTCTCACCAGCACCAAGTAGACAGGAAGTATCACTTCCTTGGCCTTGCTCATGACACATTGGTTAATGCATCCCAGTATGCTATTAGCTTTGTTGGCTACAGTGTCCCACTGGCAGGTCATGTTCATCCTGCAATCAACCATAACCCCAAGGTCCCTTTCAGCCATCGTGCTGGCCAGAACATCTCCTCCTAACCTATATTCATGTTGCTGATTACTTCTCCCCAGATGAAGCACTATATATTTATCCTTATTGAACTGCATCTAGTTCCGCTCCGTGCACCTTGCCAACTTGTCCAGGTCTGCTTGGATCCACATCTTATCCCCTAGTGTGACTGCTTTTCCCCATAACTTAGTATCATCCACAAACTTGGCCAGTGTACTCTCCATATCTTCATCTAAATCTTTGATAAAGATGTTGAACAGCACGGGGTCAAGAACTGAACCCTGTGGGACATCACTTGCCACCTCCCACCAAGATGATACAGACCCATCCACTAACACTTTCTGGGTTCAGCCCCTTAGCCATTTCCCAACCCACCTGACCATGGACTCTGCCAGCCTACACTCTCCCAGTTTTTTATAAGAGAGTCATGGCAAACCGTATCAAAGGCCTTTTTAAAATCCAAGTATATGACATCAATTGCGTCTCCCACATCTAAGCAGTTCATTACTTGATCATAGAGGGAGATGAGGTTAGTCAGACACAATGTGTCCACAATACAACCATGTTGGCTATCCTTCAGCATCATGCCTTCTGCCAGTCTCTCACAAATTAACTTGATAATTTTTTTCCCAAAATTTACCCAGTATTGAGGTCAAACTGACCAGCCTATAGTTTCCCAGATCCTCCCTCCTCCCCTTCTTAAAGATTGGCACCACATTGGCCCTTTTCCAGTCTTCTGGGACCTCTCCCGAGCACCACAAGTCTTCAAATACCTTCGCCAGCAGTTCCGCAATGACGCCAGCCAATTTCTTCAGCACTCTTGGGTGTAGTCCATCTGGTCTTGCCGACTTGAAGACATTCATCCGCTCTAAGTGCTCCCTCACCAGTTTGGCACTGACCATTGGTTGGCATTTGTCCCCCCTGCATCCGTCCAGTGTCCGACCAGGCGGGCGACCACCAATTGTATGCAGGAACACCGACGCAAAGTATTTATTAAAGAGTTCATCTTTCTCCTGACTATCTGTTATCAACTGTCCCATCCCACTGTGCAAGGGTCCCACATTTCCCTTGGTCTTCCTCCTGCTCCCTATATACCTAAAGAAGGACTTTTTATTGTTCTTGATTTGGGTCACAAACCTGAACTCAGTCGGTGCCCTTGCCTTCCTTATCCTGTCCCTACAAATATGGGATATACTTGTGTATTCCTCCTTGGTGACTACCTCTTGTTTCCACTGTCCACAAGCCTCCTTGTTCTTTTTCTAAAAAGTTGAAAAGGTACAGGGCTGGCCCCATGGGCCAGATTGGACCCATGGACCCTGCCAAGCATTCTACATATGAGATCCAGCACCTGTGATGCTTGCTCCAGCTTGTCTGGGATTGCAGAACTGCAATCCCAGACTGCTGCAGCTGGTCTGGGGTGGACACCACATGCAACACAGGTCCTGGACTTGATGGGTTGGGTGCTTCAAGTGGCACAGTCCTAGACTGCCCAGGATGAACACAGGTTCTATTGTGTGGGGGACCCATGGAGCATCCCTTCACACACACATGCTGGATAGGGTCCCAGACTAACCCTATATAGGGATGTGGCTCTGTCAGCTGGATCTGGCCTGCAGTCTGTATCTTTTGACATGTCTGTACTAAATTCTAGAAGAGCCAAAATTCTTGAGCCTGTTTAAGGACTAGAAGAGCTGGGTTGCATCAGCAACTGAAGGGGACAAGTGCCCTTTAGCGGTGGTGTGGAGTGACAGCACCGGTAGAACAGTGTCCCCCAGCAGTTGTGTGCAGGGGCAGAGCAACACCTTCTGGTGGAGTGACTGCAATGGTGCAGCAAGCAGCCCTAGCAGTGCTGGGGAGCAACAACAGCAGCAGTGGAGCAGCATCCCCAGTGCTTGTGGAGCAACAGCAGCACCAGCAATAGTGGTGTGCCCCAGTGGTTATGAGGCAAGGGGAAATGTTGGGCTAGCTGAATACTGTATTTACTTGAATAGAAGAGGACCCTGATTGTATGACAATTTATGTATGGAATTGTAATTCTACCTATGGAAAATGTATAAAGTTGTTACAATTTGTGGCCACCTACAAATTCATTAGGGGAACGCAGCAAGGAACCGGGGATGCTCTGTTCACCAGTGTACCTCTCAGGGTAACAAGGAACAATGGTCACAAACTGACAGAGAGCAGATTTAGGCTAGATATCAGGGAAAACTTCTTCATGGTGAGGGTGGCCAAAATTTGGAATGGGCTTCCAAGGGAGGTGGTGCTCTCCCCTGCCTTGGGGGTCTTTAAAAGCAGGCTGGACAGGCATCTGGCTGGGGTCATCTGACCCCAGCACTCTTTCCTGCCTAGGCAGGAGGTCGGACTCGATTATCTGTTGAGGTCCCTTCTGACCCTAGCATCTATGAATCTATGAATTGTCCAGGTATAGAATCTATTTATTGGAGGTTTGCCTTGAATTTGTCCCCCTCCCACTGCTACAGCAGGGAAAAGAAATCTGAGGGAGGGGGTCATATAGCTTCTGTGATCTCTGCTTCCCTCAACTTTTTCCCCTGAAAGCCCTTCCTACTGTCCTTACTGTCAGACCCTGCTCTCCCTGAGCACATGGAAGTGAGAAATAAATTTTAAAACCAAAGGCTCACAATTTACCACATAGTTCTCTGGCCTGGGCCCACTAGAGTCAACAGCATTTCAAGCCAGGGATGACCACAGCATAACACTACTCAAAATGCGTGTACTTCAGATATCCCCCACAGAGGATCTCTGCTAATTAGCCCTCACTCATGATTGGAACTGGGGTTTTTGTCACAAGTCCTGGGATGCTCCAAAAACTGATATGCAGACGAGGCACAGGACAAAGTGGTCTGGCTCCACCCCATGAAGGGTGGGGCCACACTAATCATCTGCAACAGAGGGCACTTCACTTATTTATTATAGTGCTTACTTCCTTGCAGAGGGACTGGTCAGGGCAGTGGCCGGGTAGGGACAAGTTTGTAGTAAACGTTACCATGTGCCTGTTCAAAGCACATTCTAACTTTAATACTGCACAGAACTAACAACAGACATACTCAGTGCCTTGTGAGACAAGGCCCTTAGAAATAGTGGGTTCAGTCTGACTTTGAAAGCCAGGGTATGAACTGCAGGAGGCAACACAGGTACTTTTCTGAACAAGGGACACTGATTGCAGCTTATGTGGAAGATGGGTTCAGGAAGCATATCTGATTTAGCTGTTGTACTCATTTACAATTTTAATCCTGCTTCATTTACAATACTTTAGAAATAATGGTAGCAAGCTCTAAACTTTACAATTCACACCTCTCTTTCCCCATGGTAACAAGATCCCAGCACTTACCATGTTCCATGTTGACTTCCTTTGTGCCACTGAGGACAATTGTGCCTTTTGCCAACACCTGTTCATAAAAGGACACCATGAGACAGAATCAGCGAAAACCCAGTCAAGATTGATGGTTCTCTTATGTACAATCTGTAGCACAGGTTTTTAATGGCTAGGGTGAATATTATGTTCATGAAAATGAGGGACAAGTAACTTCAGAAGAAATAGTCAGGGTTGTGGACAGGACTTAAGCTACTTTTTCCTCTTCCTCATACACAGCTCTGCTAGTGTCCCTTAGTTCTGCCTTGCAGCCCCCCTGCTATTCCAATCCTGGGTTCCCCACACTGCTCAACCAGTGCCCATTACTCCTGCCTTATTCCAGTTCTGGCATCTCCTTTTGAGCTGTGTAACTGTGGATTTAGACAGAGTCCAGCTGGCGGTACTTCTGTGCTCTCCTCTCCCTGAAGAGCCCTGTTTGATTTCAGGGAATTTGTATTTACTTAGCTAGAAGTGTTACTGGGCTGCTCTCTGATGGGGCCCTTTGGTAAGATTATGGCTTGGCTCTGATCTTTACCCAAAAACCTATTTAGATTACATGCTTCTGATTACTCAATAGTGGTCAGAAGCAAAGAGGTTTTCTGGCAAACATAGTAGGGCCTTGATACGTACCACATAGTAGAAGTTCATACTGGTGGCATCCCCATACCCATCTTTGTTCAGGATATAGTGCACCATGATTGCCTTCTGTTGGCCACAGCTCAGCTGCTCTCTCTCTGGCTCAATCTTAACAAAGCTGTTAGTGCGGGAGTAGAAACGTCGGATGTAGAATACAGCATGAGTGTCCTCAAAGTTTGTCCAGCCAAAGTCTGAACAGTCCACATATTTTGCCTGAAAAGAAACATGGGAAAGATGGTAGGGGGGAGGAAAGGCAACAATTAGATGATGTAATGAAGAGAATGTGAAAGTATCAGACATGTTAATTATGCCTGTTTCTAAAATGTTCTGTGTCAAGAAGTGTAGCTGCATTTTAGGGTATGAGCACATCTGGGCTGTTCTTGCACAGCAAACTCAGCTGGGTTGCTTTCTGCTCCAACACTTAATAACTCCATAGGTCTATGCAGGTTAGAGAGGTGAGCTCAGAGCCTTGCAGATCTGGCTAAAGTGGCACTGGGTGTTAGGGGATGCTGTAGAGCTAGAGCTACATGGATTCCAGCCAGACTGGATCAGCTGACTCTGCTTTCCCCATGGTTTGGGCATCCAGTGTGGGTGAGACAGAACAAAGGAGCCACCAGGGAGGTTCTGCTCTGGGAAGATTGTGGGAGTCGGGTATGTCAGCAGGGAAGACATCTGTTCTGAAGAGAAGCAGGAAGGAAGTGCCTCAGCCCTGCCCCTTTTTCCCCCATCATCTTGGTGGAACAGCCTGTCCCTCTTCAAGCACTTGTGCACCTCAATAGTTCTTTCCAGGTCAGACCTGCCTTGGGGTTTCAGGAGTCACCCCCGTTGCCTGCATGGGTATACTTAGCAGTTTTTACAGTTTCTCTGGTGCTATCTGAACGAGGGCTAAGCTCTGGGAAAACCTCAAAAGCAGAGGAAGCTGCAGACATGCTGAAGAGGCTAAGACCTAACTGAAGAGTGAGCAGGAAGAAGACAAAACAGAAAGAGCTGCAGGCAGGGAGGGGATATTGCTTATTAACATTCAGATTGCTGCACCAAGTCACAGTGTGAGTCACTCGACCACAAGCTGCCTCCTCTACCCTGAAAGCCACATAGCATGATGCTGTCCATGAGAACACCAATGTGCTTCGCACCCCTCCCACAGAGGCATTTCTCTCTAAGGTGCACAACACAGGGCCTGTTCCCAACAGGGTAATCCCAGGCATTCACCCTAATTCTTTGTTAAGCATCTTTATTAAATGGAAAAAAATATTTGGAAAGCAAAACCTGAGTCCTGCAAACTCCCTGCATGGTGAGTCATTAATCTGCTCCTCTGCCTGCATCTGCTGTCCCGTTTCCTGCTTGCAAACATTTTGCAAGTGGCCCTTGATACCATTTTAGTTGTGTAGCCCAGTTCCAAGGAACTGTCCCTGTTACTGCTGTGACTTTCTGTTACTTACCCTCAGCTCCAATCTGGGATCAAAGAGGTTGGAGGTGTTGAGGTAAAACAGAGCAGCGCCATTCTTGTCTGTGGTGTAGTTAGCCAGGTACATTCCACTGAGCTCTAGGTGGATGATCTCATTTGCAATGGGGTTGCCTTCCTCATCTTTCAGATTGATCTGAACAGAATAGAAGAGCCAGGAAACTTAGATGGCAAATGGAGCCTGCTTGCTTTCCCTTCATGAGTTTAGTTGGCTTCAAAGGCTGAGGAGCTCTAAAGACATCTTGTGGGGTATGTGAAAGGGAATAGCAGCAGGCAGGACTGCCGTAGAATGAAGTGTGTTTAAGACACATGTGTACCCTTCAGACTACTTTGTAGGGTGAGGAGGAATTCCTTTGGAGGTTCACCCACAGGACAAAGAAACACAGGGAAAGTACTCCTGACAGGGAAAGGGGAAGAAAGACTACCTAAAGTTTCAAGTATTAAAGATTATCCTTAGTCTTCATCATGGAAATCCCTTCCTGACTCTTCAATGGCAGTTGATTCCAGGATATAAAGGGTGGATTATAGGCTGCCAATTGGGAGACCACGATTCACATCCTGACCTCAGACTCTTATTCTCTGAGCCAATGGGGTGGAATGGCCTTGAAAGGCACTGCTTTTTACTGGATGCTGGCTCATAAAACTTGAAGCAATTAGAGGCCCTCTTTTGATCCTTTTTCTTAATGATGACCCTTCCCCCTCATCCCATATCATCCATTGCTTCTTTGACCCATAGACATCATGTAATTATGACTGAAGACTGGCCCACTGACCTCCCAACCAGTTTTTCTCATGTTTTCTGAAAGCAGCTAACATGGTGGGGAGACTTTTGGTGTAGAGGCTATTGCCATGAACTGTTATCGTGGGAATCTGCTACTGGGAGTAGAGATGGCCATAAGCAGAGCAGAACTGAGACCCTTTTCCATGACCGGAGAAGGTTGTGTCTCTGCCATCCTACCTGTCCAAAGTAAGGGAGTCCCCTTTTGTAGTATTGATCCATGTTCTGAAACCATATGCTTTTGCGCCCTTCGTAGATGAAAACTGAGTCAGAGCTGCTAATCTGCACACCTGTGAGAGGCCCAGTGGCAAAGAAAAAACAAAAGAATCAGAGATGGGGAAATGTGAGGCTTTTAAAAAGCCCTACTGAGTGACCTGGCCATGGGTACAGAAATCTGGAGGGAATAACTGTATGTTTGAAATGATTCTTAATGCTGAGCTCTGCCTAACGGCAGGAAGTCACAGACTCCTCTTACAGAGTATTTGTCCACAGGGCAACCCCTCTGACTTGGCCTCCCCAACCATCCCCCTTTGGTGTTACCTGTTCCATTCTCTGTGACCACTGCATCCACCCTAAGGCTGACATACATCCTTGGACGATACCGAAATAACTGGAATTTTGAAGTGGGAATGGCTTTGGTGAGGCAGCCATCCTTCCCCAGCTGAAAAAGAAGGGACAAAGCCAGCGATTATGAAGGGGAGAAAAAAACCCAGTTGTTTCAAGGTCAGACACCTACTTCTTGTCTTCATATGAAAGGCTCTGAAAATCTTAGCTTCATGCTTCCAGCTGTCGTACCTACCTACCTACTGCTCTGTTGTTGTCATATTGTTTTCCTCTTGCTCTATACTTTACCATACCTTCCGCCACTGCCATTTCAGTGCCACCTTCCCCAACTCAGTCCTGCCACTTTCTGAGAACTCTAGCACTGGCCAGCCAGAACATTTAATGACAAACTCAGCTTCAAAGCATATGAGTACCCTGCCTTGACTTTAGTAGTAGTAGCCAGCTCATATCAGATAAAAATCTTGTCTACAGACCTTTTGGAATCTGACTGAGAACACTTTTTCCTTCCATTTATTCTCCCCACTATTTTAATTTCATAAGTGCATACATTCTCCCTTTCTCCACTAAAGCTTCTAGGTCAAGATAAAATCTAGATTTCTAATACTAATTTTTTTGGAGCAATCATACGATTAAGAATTAAACTAAGACTAAAAATAAATACCCAGCCCTTGCAGGACTTCTTTTTACATCAGAAAGTTGCAAGGAAAGGCACAAGAACTGGTTTTTATGTTCTTTGTAAACTGCCCTTGTTACGTGCGCAAGAACACTAAGCATATGTTTACTAAGAAAAGGTGACTATTCCTTGCCCTACTCATTCAGAGTGGGATTATATCTTTGCAGCCAACAGGGTAACATGCTTGGCACTGAATCCGGTGACATGCTTACACCTCTCCCCCTTCAGCTTCTCAGCTCCTTTCAGCTCCTTGGCAGTAGATTTATTCCCACTGCTTTTGCAGAGGAGTGATGCTGCACTTCTCATGAGGCACTTAAACCAGGTTCATGCCTTTTTTTGCCTAGCAGAAATTAGCCATCCCATGAGAACAGTAGGGAGAAAACTGATGTCCTGCCAGATGTGCCCCACTCAGTGAAAGAGGCTCTAATACTTGAGGCTGGGAGTGATGAATAGTTTTTAGGTTTGCATACGCAGTCACTACTCTCCCGGTATGTAACCTACTTCCCTGCAGGGGCCATACATGATAGATTAAATTCATTCTTTATTCTGCCACTCCATCTAAACAGAGCTGATCCTTAAGGTGTAATGTGGAGGCCTGGATCCCAGTTTCCCCATGGCTTCTGTGTCTTTGGCTCTGAAACACATGAGAATTCTGAGGCGCTGAGGCTATTACGATGACATTCCCCAACAAATTATTTAGTTCCTAGCAATAAAGAGAACTCCCTCCCTCGACTCTAGCTCTGCCCATGACATGTTGGGCAGAAACAAGATCTGTTCTAGGTGGACCTCACAGCACTCCCCAAGAAATGAAAAGTCAACCAATAAAGCCATGTGATGCATTAAATGCAAAACTTGTTGGAAAGGAAGAGAGGAAGAGGTAGAGGCCAACATCATACTTGTTCATTGACTCTTTCACATATTTTCTTGGGTTCTTGGTCACATTCACTACGATAGTAATGCGTGTTACAGACACTGAGCTGGACGTTTCCTTGCACAGGCTGTCCATAAGTGTACCTAGTAGAGGAGAAAACAATGAAGAAACAGATTGTGTGGTCACTATTTTTGGATTCAATACAAGAAACAAATATATACCCAGAAAACTAAGAGTCTGTTTATACAACAGACTGTAGCTGAGAACATGGGCAAATGAGCTTATGCGGAGCACTGGCTACTTCCAGGACATAAACTAGCTAATTTAAAACTAGCTCAGATGTCCCTACACAGCAGTTCAGCCTGCAGTATGGACATGCTCTAAGACCCAAACTGGAGTCTTACTGAACCCAAGGTTTGGAGACCTTTTCCTGGTCCTTCTTTTTTTCCACAAGGGAGTCCATCATTGCCATGCACAGAACAAGTTATGTCCCATTAAGCAACATTGTTCAGGACTGCAGGGCACTTCCCCTTTGGCAGAGGCAAATGTAAGGCAATGTTACCTCAATGTAAGGCACTCTTATCTACTAATCTAGGAACTTCTCCTGACTTTTCTTTCAGTTCCTTTTATCCATGTCTTTATCCTGATTAAAAAAATCCAGTAGTGAGTAGACATATATCAATTTATTATCTTCAACCATTGAAATAAACATTAATATACATGACCCCAGCAGTGGGATGCAGTGTGCAAGTGGGTATTCCCAGCATCATGTAGCCTGAAGTGAAAGTGAATCATAGTGGTAAAGTGCCTTGCCAAGACCACACAGTGAGATATTGGCAGAGCCAGGATTAAGATTCAAGAGCTTCTGTTCCCCAGCTCCATGCTCCTTGAACCCAGCCTTGCAGCCTACATGAATATACACTGCCCCCATCATGTGGATACTTACGAAGCGCAAACATTCACTTTGAATTCTTGATCTAAAAGAGAGACCCTTCCTGGGGTTTTGGTTGACACTTCAAACTTTGGCAGCACTGAAAATTAAAAGAGAATAATGTCACACAGAGATACCATAGATGTGAAGTGAAAAGTGGCAGTGAGTCCCTAACTGTACCAACAGTTACGACAGGTGTAAGTGCTAAGAAGGAAGAGGAATGCTGTAGAGGGCATGGGATAGTAAAAACAGGATAAAGCCCAAAATTATACTGCATGAAACCACCCTACCCGGATAGAAATAGAAGGTAATTGACTGAGAGAGACTTAATAGGATAGTCCCTGTCACCACCTTCTTTCATTCTTGCCATGAGTTAGAAACATACTGTATTTACTAGCATACCAGATGCATCTTTCCCCCAAAAATCAGCCCTCCAAAATCAGGCTGCAAGTCTTAATCTGGGAAACTGAGTTTATGCCTGAAATAGAAGCACCCAGTAATCATAGCTTCACAGAACAGTAGCCTGGGAGGGACCTTTGGAGGTCATCAAGACCAACCCCTGCCTGAGGAAGAATTATCCCTATCCAAACCATCCCATACAAATCCGTATCTCATCTATTACAAAAACTACACAGTCACCCCTGTCACACAAACACAAGGCATAACACCTTCATTTCCTAAAGGTAAGTCACAGGGACAGCAGTAGACAATGTCTCACTGCTGCAAGGTTTGGTAAAATATACACAAAAGATCCAAGGAAGAGGGTCATGATCCTCATGACGGAGGAATGTGAAATCCACTACAGTCTGTGTCAATCTGACCAAGGGGTAAAATTCCTTCCCAGTTGTGGTACTTGGCCCAACATTGAGGGGAAGGGCAAGACCCTCTGCCAGAAACCTCTGGGTTTTAGTCCCAGCAGGAGCACGCCTCAACTTTGGCTGCAGTCAAAATCCCCAACCTTGGCTGTAGCCAACACCAGTGCTTCTGAGGAAGGCACAAAAAAACTAAATAAAGACCCTGACACATGTAGCAACAGGATGGAAGAAAATCTTTCTTGGCTCCATGTGACAACAGAAAAGCCAAGAAGCCCAGCAAAAACCCATAGCCCAGCATAAGCATAGCTATTCCTAGATCATCCCTAACAAATTCTTATCCAACTTCTAGTCAGTCTATTCCACTGTTTCACTGCTCTAACAGTGAAAAAGTATTTCCTGATCTCCATGCTGAATAGCACTGGGCCCAGGACAGACTCCTGTGGGACTCCACTCAAAATATCCTGCCCTTCTGATATGGATCATTTTATAATTAACTTGTGCTTGTAGCTATTAAGCCAGTTGTCTACCTACCTTATAGTAGTTTTGTCTAGCCTGCATTTCTCCAATATGTTTATGAGAAGGCCATATGGAAATTTACTAAATACCTTGCTAAAGTCCAGATACACTGAATCCATAGCACTCCCTTCATCAACCCAAGTAGTTACCTTGTCAAAGAACAAGATCAAATTTGTTTGGCATGATTTATTCACAGTTAATCCATGCTGGCTGCTTGTGACCAGCCTTTCCTCCACTAGTTGCTTGCAAATAGAGTTCCTCATGATATACTGTAGTAACTTCTTTGGTATTGAGGGGAGGCTACCCAGTCTATAGTTCCCCATGTCCTCCTTCCTGTTTGTTTTAAAGAGGGACATTATGGACACATCTACAAGTGATGCTATGTTACTGTGGCAAGATGCTATGGCAGTGTAGCACCCACAGGTGTCCACCCGCGACTAGCAGCTACTTCACTGCAGTGGCACGTTCTCCCATTACAGTGCGCCACTATAGCTAAGTAGCTGCTAAAAATAACCATGAGCGACATGTACGGTGCAGTACAGCTGGTTACTGCACCATGTTTTAGAATTTCCGAAAGGAAGTACTAAAGCATGGTACAGTAACAACATCACTATAGGGCAACATGTAGATATGCCCTATGTTGACCTTTTTCTAATCCTCTGGTACCTCCCCCATCTCCCACAACTTCATAAATATGATTGCCAAAGGCTCTGAAATCTCTGACAGTCCCTTCAATACCCTGGGATGCAGTTCATTAGGCCTAGCTGACTTGAATTAATTCAGACTCATCAAAAGCTCCTTGACTATTTATTATCTCTTCTCCAGCTTAACACCATCCTTATCCAAACAATCCTTTGAGTCCTACTCCACCAGGCAGCAGCAGTGGCATGTCTATTCAGGCAGCTGAGGGGATCAGTTGACTTAGTGGCTTACTGCTCTTAAGCATTAATGATCATCTCTCCTTTTTAACAGTCTTGATGTTCCACTAACCAAGCTAACTTTCCTTCTGGCCATTTTACTGCCTGCTAGCTACTTGTCTACTTTTGGCAGCCCCCCTCACAGACTCAGTCTGGGGCACTGCAAACTAGGCCTGTGTGAAGTGGCTAGTATTCGCTTCGGATTTGGTTTTGGCTGATTTAGGGGACACTAATTTGATTTGGTGATTTGGTCCTCTCCCAGCCCGGCAATGGCTGCCCTGCCTGCCCCAGGTCCCAGCACTTTGAAAAAAAAAAGCCCTGACTCACTGGGTGCTGCTGGGCATGGGGGGGAAATCCCCACTCCCCCCCATCCCACACTGCATGGGGGGCTCTGCACAAGCCCCCCCCAAACCCCTTACTCCCCCAGCCCTCCCCCTCACCCAGCTGTGGCCCTTTAAGGAAAAAAAAACCAAGAAAAACCTGGGACTCACTGGTTCCTGCCAGCAGGGGGTGATCCCTGCTGCCTCCTGCTGCCTGGGGGGCTCTTCATGAGCCCCCTGAAGCCCCAAGGCTGCTGCAGGAACCGGTGAGTCATGC